ATTTAGACAGTATCAACTGTATATATAAAAAAATTTAGAATATAGTCAAAATACTTTATAATTATACCCTTGGTTTTAAAATTTGGTGTTTATAGAGTTTGTGCTTATATAGAGATTAATTTTACAAGTATTATATAAGTTTGTTTTAAAAATTTATATAATTATAATCAAATATAATTATAAAAAAAATAACTATAGAAAGGTCTAACTGTATATATATTTAATATATAATGAGTAATTTATTTAACTTAGTCAAGTTGATAAATTTATTATTATAATAACTACAAACACTATAGTTATGAAATTGATTTTCTATTTCTATAATTACTTATATAACATGAATATTAATTTTAAATATTTGATTAAAAAAAATGAACATGGCTTAATAGTTAAGAATTAAGACTTTATTAATAAGCATTTTTTATTTCTTACTAACAATAATTATTAATTATGGTCTGAAGTGTAGTGGAGAACTTTATATCTACTCCAAATTATGCAATGTCTGTGACAGTGATCAATCAATTTTTTAGTTCAGGTGACACCACATATTTTTGCAGATCCTTCCAAAAAACAAAAAAATATGATACCTAATCAAATTGTTTGATATAATAATATAATGCTTTGGATATCTATCAGCACCTGATATCTAGTTTAATCTATATTTCAAATAATGTACATGTGCATACTTGAAATAACATGCAGGTCAATTAATTAACATGCATATAGATATTATTTTATGTTTATATAGTAATCTATTTAGGTTGCTGTTTATAGTGACTTGAATCAGTTAAGCTATAATTGGTTAACTAACCTGAACTGAATAAATTTCAGATAACTGGTTGAGAAAATTCTTAATCAGTTAACCTGGTACAACCAGCTGGCAAGATCTGAAAATAAAAAAATAATATAATAAATATTCTGAAATGTTCTGAAAAAATAAATAAATGAACAAAAATTAGAGTAAAGCTCTGAGAATTGAAGATAGTAAAGTATTAATCTTAACCGATCTATTTTTGATGATCTTGCCACCATTAGAATTGTCCCAATCTGAAGAACAGCTTTTATTAAAGCTCAAAAGTAGGACTACTTAATACCAAACCTAGTTCCGGAGCATTTTTTTTTTAAATTTAACTATAAATAAGCACCTCTTACTATAAATGCGCATTATTTTGGAACGCACATGAGCGTTATTTTGAATCCATATAGGGTTACAAGTTTCTAAATAACGCGCAGGTGAGCGTTATTATACGAAAATACGATCAGTGTAAATGTTGTATCAAACAAGTGATAAACCTAAATAACCTAGGAATGAAAAGATCTTTTAACAAGTACAGTCGGCTCCAAAAGTTTATCATGGTTACACAAAAATAAATATTAATGAATACAACTGACTCTTGATATAAAAACAAGTCACCGGCTCCAGCCAAAACCCTTCTTATATCGAAACTTTCTTATATCAAAGACTTATAAAATTTTCAAATGGAACTTGTAAAATCTTTCTTATGTCAAGAGCTTCTTATATCGAGTATATTGAAGGTTCCCTATATCGAGAGTTACTTGTACGTACGTACGTATATACATAATTATCATAATTTGTGTTGTTTTTCGTGTAACCGCATATACTACGTACAGATTTTTTAAAAATAAATACGTAGTAATTTTTTTTTAATTATTATAGAAATTAATCACGATTACTTTTTAATAAATCAAATAAAATAATAACCAAAATAAGATAAATAAATTCCCATCTTAGAACCCATTAAACCATTCCGAAAACAAAAATACAAATCGCAACAGCTACTAGTAAGGACCAAAACATAAATTCTATTTTAACAGTATTTGAAGAAGGATTACTAACAAAAGTGGTAGTACTAGATTTAGGAAGTTGATTATAAGTTGAATAAGGATGCAGGACAGACATTCCTTTTGAAGTAGCTGTATTAGTTGTTGAGGGAGTTTTTTGTTGAATTGTGACCGGTGCCGTGGTCATAGTTTGTATAGTTGGGTTTAAAGTGGTCGCTTTAACAGTATTGGTGAATGGAATGTTTGCGGTGGTACTAATTGGGATGGCAGTTGTAATTTCAGTGGGAACGGATGTGCCGACAGAAGTGGAAGGAATGTTTTTGATGGTATTGACGGCGCCGACGCGTATGGTTTGAATGTTTAAAATCGTTGAGAATGATTCGACCCTTGGAACAAAGAGTGAACTTCGTGACACCTAATAGTAAATGCATAACGATAAGTTAAGTATCCAATTGAATATAGTTAGTCAATTTTCGTTTATAATGTAA